ATCAAAAATATGTCTATTCATGGTGACGTGGCAGATCTGTGTTCTTCTTGCCGCGTCTCTCTATCCGGCTTAGACTTGGATCGTCTTCCGCCACAATATAACATAATAATAGTAATGATGTTACTTCCTTTGAGTTTGGCAAAAAGAATTCCTGAAAAAAGAATCGATTGAAACCAAATGTTATGTAAATAGAACCTTGTTGGTGATTGATTGCTAGTTTTGGCAGGTATAATGTATAATTGAGTGCCATCCTTTTATACAAGAAGGATAAGTACATTATCAGTTAACACTTAGAAGTCTCACAGAGGATGCAAGAGCATGGTACGGAGTCAGCCATGTTATATTGTTCTTATTTCTAACTGAATACAAAGAACAAAAAGTTTTCAATTTCTATTTCTAAACCTTATCTATTTTTAGAATTAATTTGATGCATTAGACTGATGTACTTTTGTGAAACTCAATTTTAGAAATGTTAAAGAGAGAAACGAAACACTTGGACCAAACTCTAGTTTACTAATCTTAACTTTGATTATTAGATCTCATAGAATTCACAGTTTTAAATATCAAAGATCAATTTGCAATAGCCTAATAGGAGCAGGCAAAGATGTAAGGGTTGGAAAATTAGAGCTCAGTTTGTTTCGCGTATTTTACTGCCAAGTTGCAAGGGGCAGCACGGCCACTTTTGACGCAATATTACTTAATATTCAAGCCATACGTAGTTTGTCTTGTTTTAGACAGAAAAGCAAAAATATCTCCATATTTTAGTTAGAATTATAGATTTTCGGCAATGAACTTTCTCTGGAGCAAAATCTTTTTGATCAATTGACCTAAACCCAAGGTTGTATAATAAGTCAGGTTGGATGCGCTCAAAAGTAACGGAAAATTTCGTCTCCTAAGATACAGGGTGTCCCAAAAAACATGGGAATTCAGTGACGAATTGGATATTGTCTTTGTTATGAATTAGCATTGTAGTACCTAATTTCAAAAGCCATAATATTATTATGTTTGCTAGAGTTTATTTTATGAAAAGGGTAAAAGACTGTAATGGTGTGTCTATAATGTCTCTGCAAGATGAACAGTGAAGACAGACAAGTTTACTCTAATTGTAAACTGCAATTTTCTTGTTTTACTAGGTACAACCGTATGCAGTCAAAACATAAACAAACAAAATGTGAACTTAGCAGACGAAACTCTTACAAATTACAGCTTTCTCAGTAGGTATCACTATACTAAATCAAAGAATTATCTAAAAAGACGATATCGAATTCGTCACTGAATTCCCATGTTTTTTGGGACACCTTGTAGATAAATAATAACCTCATATGACGCCATTCTCGCCTTTACAATCAGTGTTATCTGAGGTTTTTATCTATCTTAAGAGACGACATTTTCCCTACATTGGAGCGCATCCAGAGTAATTGGAGCTTATTATACAGCCATGCCTAGCTTATTATACAGCCATGCCTAAACTGATTATAACTGTACAGTGCTTGTTGTTTTGTACATTCATCAGGTTACAGTATTTTGAAGGTATGCAGTACCACGGGACGGGATAATAAGGAAAGACACAAATTACCTTCATTTTCTCAGTAGGTCGTTTTATAAAATCAGTACCTTCTCTCCAGATTCTGATGGCATGTAGAAACTTAGCAGAGCAATTCCAGTTATTAGAACACAGGGAAGGATCAGGTTAAATACTAGAACACACAGGGTAGGATCTGGTTAAATACTAGAACACACAGGGTAGGATCAGGTTAAATATTAGAACACAGGGTAGGATCAGGTTAAATACTAGAGCACAGGGAAGGATCAGGTTAAATACTAAAACACACAGGGTAGGATCTGGTTAAATACTAGAACACAGGGAAGGATCAGGTTAACTACTAGAACACAGGGTAAGATCAGGTTAAATACTAGAACACAGGGAAGGATCAGGTTGAATAATAGAACACAAAGGGAAGGATCAGGTTAAATACTGGAACACAGGGAAGGAACAGGTTAAATACTAGAACACACAGGGTAGGATCAGGTTAAATACTAGAACACACAGGGTAGGATCAGGTTGAACACTAGAACACAGGGAAGGATCAGGTTAAATACTAGAACACAGGGTAGGATCAGGTTAAATACTAGAACACAGGGTAGGATCAGGTTCAAATAAGTAAATGTTATTTTTTTACCGTAGAAGAGAGGTCGTCTTCTAAGCTTGATACTGTAGGTTATATCAGGATATGGTTCCTAGGTACAAAGTTCACATAAGAAATAATAATATATTAGGCATTGTTATTCTTTTTACATTACAGAGATACACTTAGGCACAGTGAACAGGGGATACAGAAATTTATACAAGGAAGGGGGGGGGCAGTGGCAACCTTTCTAGATTTCTTCCTTGCGAATCCAACGGAACCGAAACCTAAGGACTGAAAATAAGTCTGATAATGAAGTTAATACCTGAAAGCAGGAGTAGATAATTTAGTAAACACCTGACAGCAGTAGTAGATAATGTAGTTAATACCTGGCAGCAGGAGTAGATAGTGTAGTTAATACCTGACAGCAGGAGTAGATAATGTAGTTAATACCTGACAGCAGGAGTAGATAATGTAGTTAATACCTGACAGCAGGAGTAGATAATGTAGTTAATACCTGACAGCAGGAGTAAATNATATAGTTAATACCTGACACCAGGTGTAGATAATGTAGTTAATAACTGACACCAGGAGTAGATAATGGAGTTAATACCTGACAGCAGGAGTAGATAATATAGTTAATACCTGACAGCAGGAGTATATAATGAAGTTAATACCTGACAGCTGGAGTAGATAATGTAGTTAATACCTGACAGCAGGAGTAGAAAACTTCATTTCTCTGAACTCCAGCTTCAACTAGATCCCATTCTCCGTTCTAAATAAATTTGGAATTTTCGACAATTTTTGATTAATTTTTTATTTTAGTTAATTTTAATTTATTTTTATCTTTAAATGAATTATGTCACTCATTCAAATTATTTGATCCATAAGTTTTAGTCTAAAATATTTAGAGTTTACGAAATTTGATTGTAAAGATGAATCAGAAAGTCAAAGTTTGTGTCAAAAGACTTTATTGTTTCTACTTTCCAGCAACTGCTTGATTTTTTCTCTTCTATTTTGTTCCCCCCACAGCGGAAGGACTGTTGACCACGAGATTGATCTGGAACCCGTCGTAGCTCCAGCTTGCAAACTTCATGATACAGGTCTGCTCGTCGAACGGGAAGAACTCGACGTTGATGGAGCAGGACGACTTGAAGATGGCGGAGCTCAGCCACGTCACGTGCCCGTTACTGGTCACGATCACGTTACTGCTCAGGGTACCTGGCTCAATGCACCTTCTCATTTCTCAGGGTTAAAGGTAGAACTTAGCTAGAGCTAGATCTAGAACTAGAGCTAGAACTAGAACTAGAACTGATCTAGAACTAGAACTAGAACTAGAACTAGAACTAGGACTAGAACTAGAACTAGAACTAGAACTGGAACTAGAACTGATCTAGAACTAGAACTAGAACTAGAACTAGAACTAGGAACTAGAACTAGAACTAGAACTAGAACTAGAACTAGAACTAGAACTAGAACTAGAACTAGAACTAGAACTAGAACTAGAACTAGAACTAGAACTAGAACTAGAACTAGAACTAGAACTAGAACTAGAACTAGAACTAGAACTAGAACTAGAACTAGAACTAGAACTAGAANTCCGTCCTACGTAACTTTCCAAATACTAATATCTGCATGAAAAGTTCGGAAAGATATTTTGCAAATATTGAAGAGGTATAAGAGTTAAATTGATGTGAAATTGCTAAAAATATGCATACTTGATTTAGCACTATTGACTCTGAGTTGCACTATGATAATAAATAAATATAAAGTGTATTTCATCATGATAGGGTGTCTCTTTAAAAACGCTACCTAGGCTATGTTCGCTACAAATTTATTTTTTGTTTCTCTTTTTGCATAATATTTTTTAGCTCATTCATTTTGTTCACTTCATTTAAAAAGTCATAATGTTGAAGAAATAAGTTTTTTGATATTGAAAAATAAGTTTTTTGAAAAATTCGTTAATATATAAATGTACAAATAAATATACAAATGTTTTTATTATTGTTTTGCTTTGTTTGAACTTGAGAATATATATACAGGTTGTTTATCTGCTGTACTTCCTCAAAAACAAGAGCAAGATGACCCCCCTCAGTCGGAATAGGGTTAAGTAACATCCTTTTTAGGTCTCACTCTATATGCAAAGAATGACCAGGATAAATAAACGTTTTTGGAAACTCCACTGACAGAATTATTGTTTCATGACACCTAACGCATAAAAACTGATTTGTTGTTACCCAATCCCTCTTGGTCCAATATGCCCGACAACAAATTCGATAACAAATTGTTCAAGGAGTAAAAATGACCATTTGTCAGAGATATCAATAAGAGATTTATCCAACAATTCCAGACAGAAAACTCCTGGTTTAGATATAAGATAAAATAACAATAGAAATAAAACTTTGAAAATTTTTCCTTTAGTGGTTAAACCTGATATTTACTTGATAAATACTTCTTTGAATAATTCTGAAAGGGACAGCAGACGTAATTTCAAATAAACTACTATTTAAAGTCTTGCATGTACGATTGCGGTGCCCTTTAAAACCTCTATCTATCTATCTCCAAGTTACAACATGGAAGATATCTTTGTTTTTCTATCTTAAAACGTGTTCAACTCTGACAATCCTTGGCTACAAGTTCATTCAAAAACTATCAGGTCTGTTTTAGATTAAAAATAAGTTTTTCTAAAATTGATTCAAAAGGATTGAGTATCCGTTTAATATATTTAGTTTCAGAACTTGTTTATATTATAAAATCGTTTGCTGATTTTGTCAAAATACTCTTCTTTTAAACTCAAGCTAGAAACAAGTTTCAGTTTTAAAATGAATTAATTAGGTTCATTGCGTTAGTTATGTAAAACCAATGGCCAGTTCGGGTTGGACACTTCAAAAGCAACCCTGTTAGAAAATTAAAGCATAATTGTCATAGCCCGCTCCATAGCCCGCGCCTATCTTTTAGTAACAGTTTTAGCAATCAAATGCTGCTTTTTAAGTCGACATTTTTCTTCGTTCTTGTAAAGCTTAATATTTCGTGTATATTTTGTTATTATTGATGGATTTCTAAAAATCTTATCAAATTGGAACTAAATATTTAAAGTTTTCTTTTATTTCATTTATTTTGTATGAAAAGTTGCCTGATGCAAAATGTCTGTCCGCGTTATTGTACAGTGTTATATCTGGCCTCCATACCTAAACATGTACAGTGTACAGTGTACAGTGTTATATCCGGTCTCCATACCTAAACATGTACAATGTACAGTGTACAGTTTACAATTTAGTGTACAGTGTACAGTGTAGAGTGTACAGTGATATATCCGGCCTCCATACCTAAACATGTACTGTGTACAGAGTGTACAGTGTTATATCCGGCCTCCATACCTATAATTCACAGTGTTCAGTGTTATATCCGGCTTCCATACCTAAAAATTGACAGTGTACAGTGTACATTGTACAGGGATATATTCGGCCTCCATACCTAAACATGTACAGTGTACAGTGTACAGAGTTATATCCGGCCTCCATACCTAAACATGTACAGTGTACAGTGTACAGTTTACAGTTTAGTGTACAGTGTACAGGGTTATATCCGGCCTCCATACCTAAACATATACAGTGTACAGTGTTCAGTTTTTGCGGTTTAGTGTACAGTTTAGTGTACAGTGTACAGTTTATAGTTTAGTGTACAGTGTACAGTTTATAGTTTAGTTTACAGTGTACAGTTTATAGTTTAGTGTACAGTGTACAGTGTACAGTTTAGTGTACAGTGTACACTTTATAGTTAAGTGTACAGTGTACAGTGTACAGTTTAGTGTACAGTGTACAGTGTACAGTGTACAGTTTAGTGTACAGTGTACAGTGTGCATACAAGGATGATACTTTAACGACGACTGGAATCCACAGAACAGAGATTAGAATAGAAGGGAAATAAGTCTATTCCTCGGTATGAATTTGTTCAGTCTCTTTCAGCCTAAACAGGAGTCCATAGTGCAATTCATGTAAATGTTCACAAATTATTCGCAGTACAGTATGATTCCTGGACATTTCCACTACAACTTCTTATGTTTATAAAGCTTTTTCAAGAAAATTTTTAAGGCCCAAATGTTTATACATATAGCAAAGATGTGTGAAGTACGCCTGCAGTATGGAAACAGACTAACAGTACAACAAAATGGCGATTTTACACTTTTTTTACCGAATTCCACTCTATATTTACCTGAAACTCTTTGAATATAACGATCTAAAGGTTAATTTTGATCTTTCACATTATGTTTTGCCTCTGAATGATTTAACTTTTGTTTTTTTAAAGAAAAAACAAGTACTTACTGAATATTCAACCTATAAAGATTTTTAAATAGATCCAATTTCTGTATTTTTGTTACTTTTTGAATCCTGTATATATAATTAATCATCAAAAAGAGATGGTAAAGATGGAAAAATATTGATGAATTATGATAATTTCTTTTCTCAAGCAGATATGGAGGCTTGTTCTATTGATGGAGCATCTTGTAATTTATCCTGATAATTCAATTTATAACCTTTACATATTTGATAAGCAGATATGTACCAATTCAATATAATTTTAAAATACTAGCAAGGAAAATATTTTATGAAGTAAGAATTCCACGATTTTCAATAATTTTTATAGAACAAAAAAATCTTAAGATAGATAGATATTGATATATATATATATGAACACTATACACTGCATACATGTTAATTATCCTTGATTATACAGAATTTGATTGTGCCAAAGATCATTATGCAGAAAACCTGGGACAATACTTCTTCTTCAGTACTCCAGTACTCTTTCCCATAGACAAGTACCATTGTCCTATCATTTCATACAGCTAACATAGACAGGGGGGAGTTAAATTTTCCAGAAATATTTGAAGATAAACTTAAATAAAGGAACTGATAACTTCCTCATATTCCAATTTTCCAATCCCTATATCTTTACAATCCCTACATCTTTATAATCTGAATGATTGAGGCAACTAGGTTCAGTTTCTTTGATTACTAGGATTTATAGTTTTCATATCTTTTAACTAAAGCACAGTAAAGTCAAACTTTCATTTCAAAGTATCCTTAAATTCAATGCAACAACATCATTTGATATTGAAAACCAATAAATTAAATTAACACCCTCCATCCATATATTACCTGTGTCAAGGGTATCCTAATACTAGGTATATAATTAAATTGTGTAGAATTCCAATTTAGGTTTACATCCTCCCATTCTTGGGACATCCAGCAGTTCGTAGTCAACACCTGGTTCCTCTCATCCTATACAGTGGAATAAGTTTTTGTTCCTACAGCGGAGTAGGGTTTAGTTCCTACAGTGGAGTAGGGTTTAGTTCCTACAGCGGAGTAGGGTTTAGTTCCTACAGCGGAGTAAGGTTTAGTTTCTACAGCGGAGTAGGGTTTAGTTTCTACCGCGGAGTAAGTGTTAGTTCCTACAGCAGAGTAAGTTTTAGTTTTAACAGCGGAGTAAGGTTTAGTTCCTACAGTGGAGCAGGGTTTAGTTCCTACAGTGGAGCAAGGTTTAGTTCCTACAGTGAAGCAAGGTTTAGTTCCTACAGTGGAGCAAGGTTTAGTTCCTACAGCAGAGCAAGGTTTAGTTTCTACAGTGGAGCAAGGTTTAGTTTCTAGAGTGGAGTAAGGTTTAGTTCCTACAGCGGAGCAAGGTTTAGTTTCTACAGCGGAGTAAGGATTGGTTCCTATACTATTAAAAAAGGTTTAATTTCTACACTGGAGTAAGATTGAGTTCTTTCAGCAGAGTAAGGATTGGTACTTACCGCCAAGTAAGATTTTGTTTTTAAACCGGATTATGCTTATGAGAAATTAAAATATGATTTAATAGAAATTGTATCATCTTTTCAGACTTTATTGAATCTTGAAAATGAAAATGAAATTTACTTGAAATATGAAATGTCTATATTTATCAACTCTCAGCTTTATTTATGAATTATTTATTCTTAGTTTTAGCTAATGTTTTTTTAAATAAGCAGTTTCTTTGGTTTATTTTAAACCAATCACGTGTTTTCCATCCTCAGAGGGTCTGAGATGGGTCTGAGGCTTTCTTTGCAACCTGAAAACGGTTTACACAAGAACGCTCAAACTTCTTCACTTTTCCAACTTCAAGTTGTGAAAAAGTTTACAAATTTATTTTTTCGTAGGTAAGACAGTCAGACAGCTGGTCGTTGTTTCAAAAAAATCAAAAATAGTCAATAAACTTTTTATTTATTAAGCTACAGATCTAAAATCTGTTTATTTAAAAAAGCAGTCGACGTACTTTAAAAACATATCCAGCACCCTAACCTAGAGTCATGATTCTTTTTAATGAGCTGGCCTTGAAAAGTTGAACTAAGAACTGCTAACTGTTTTTTTGCTGACTTTAATTTAGATTATCGTATTATAATTTTTAATTTGTCAACTGTTAAATATTGGATTGTGTCTGCTGGCTCGAAATTATCACATTCCTCATTGATGAGATCGATTCATCCAAATGTTTGACCAATCAAAGACCGGTTAATATTCAAATCGTTATATAAAGGTGAGATAATAAGAGCGCAAAGTTCAATGTTCCTCTTACCACGTCAATAATCTGCGTGAGAGCCAGGACGAATGTGACCTCTAAAGAACTGTTAAAGTGTTTTGTAGGTCGGACTGCAACATTATACTTCTCCAGGAGTAAACTGTGTAGTTCTCCCTCACTGCACGCACCTACAACAATATTTACATAAATCAAGATTGGTTGGTAAGGTTATACAGAGCGTCCCATATCATGTTAGATTATCTCCAAGCTTTAACGCCAAAATAAAACCTTAATAATTGAAAAACTTGTCATTTTCCACAAGAGAATTCTTACGTAAGCCTTATTTTGTTTTTCAAAATGATTCATTCTAATTTAATTTTCTGATTAGTCCCGAAAATCGTAATTTAGACCCATTAACGGTCTAATATGATGTGGGGGACACCTTGTAGATACTCTGGATAGGAAATGTCGTCTTCATAGCAATGTACACTCAAAATCCTCATGACGTAACAAGCGTGGAAAAGCACACCACTGTACCACACCATTTTTTGTCCACCCTACGAATGACGTCACAACTCACCATTATTTCGTCCGGCATTGTTTTTAATATTTTATCCTTTTTTAATAAGAACATTTTATGAAAGTACAGTAGACATAACACAGTTTAAAGAAAAATGCTATTTCATAATACCTGATAAAAATATTACTTTTTAGTCATAAATTCTAAAATTGTTTCTTGTTGTACCTGAGCAATATTATGAAAGATATTGTCGTTTTTTTAATCTGAAAAAAGTGTTAAATACGGATAATTTCTTTCTTTGTATTTGATGCAAGTCACTTTATAAGAAAATTATCAAAAAACAGATAAAAAAAGAATATTTTGTCAACAATCCCTGTACAGCTGTACCAGAAGAATATAATATGAAATGTGATGGGAATTTCTGTAGAATCTACACTTTTCTAAAATATTTACTCGAAATCCTATTGTAAAAAACCTCATCTATGTTATTCAGATAAAAACATTATTCCATGAATAGAAACAATTTAGTAAACAAACAAAAGCTTTATAAAACCTTGTACCAAAAGTACATTGGGTTTGGGTGCAGTAAATAAAGGACAACTTTCTAACAGTTTATGCACTGGCAATTTTAATTTTGAACATTTTTTATTATTTCATTTTCATCTACAGGTTTTGCAGTTTGGCTCGGCTACAAACCCAACACATTTTTATGCCTTTTAAATAACGGTGACGGATTCTTTGAATTTTTTTCTTCACTTTACTCTGTGGTGATCTTATAAGTTTTTCTTTATTAAATATTATTTTATTTTAAATTTGATATGATTTGGTTGGTTGGGTTTCAAGTATGATGGGTTTACTACTTACTCCGGTTTATTCTACACTCTGCCAAATAGGTTTATTTGGACCCGGAGATACAAGACATATAGATACACAAATATAGGAGATATAGATACACAAATACGGGAGATATAGATACACAAATACAGGAGATATAGATACATAAATATAGGAGATATAGGTACACAAATGTAGGAGATATAGATACACAAATACAGGAGATATAGATACACAAATATAGGAGATATAGATGCACAAATACAGGAGATATAGATACAAATATAGGAAATATAGATACACCAATATAGGAGATATAGATACACAAATATAGGAGATATAGATACACCACTATAGGAGATATAGATACACAAATATAGGAGATATAGATACACAAACATAGGAGATATAGATACACAAATATAGGAGATATAGATACACAAATATAGGAGATATAGATAAACAAATATAGGGGATATAGATACACACATATATAGTAGATATAGATACACAAATATAGGAGTAATAGGTACACACATATAGTAGATATAGATACACAAATATAGGGGATATAGATACACAAATATAGGAGATATAGACACACACATATAGGAGAAATAGGTACACACTTATAGTAGATATAGATACACAAATATAGTAGATATAGATATACAAATATAGGAGATATAGGTACACATATAGGAGATAGAGGTACACAAATATAGGAGATATAGATACACAAATATAGGAGATATAGATACACAAATATAGGAGATATAGTTAAACAAATATAGGAGAAATAGATACACAAATATAGGAGATAGAGGTACACAAATATAGTAGATATAAATACCAAATACAGGTCGACATATAGATACACAAATATAGGAGATATTGATACACCAATATAGGAGATATAGGTAAACAAATACAGGAGATATAGATACACAAATATAAGAGATATAGATACACCAATAAAGTAGATATAGATACACAAATATAGGAGATATAGGTAAACAAATAAATAAGATATAGATACAAAAATACAGGAGATAATGATACATCAATGTAGGAGATAAAGATACAAAAATACAGGAGATATAAATACAAAAATATAGAAGATATAGATACACAAATATAGGAGATATTGATACACCAATATAGGAGATATAGATACACCAATATAGGAGATATAGATACACAAATATAGGAGATATAGATACACAAATATTGGAGATATTGATACACCAATATAGGAGATATAGAAACATCAATATAGGAAATATAGGTACTCAAATACAGGAGATATAGACACACAAATACAGGAGATATAGACACACAAATACAGGAGATATAGACATACAAATACAGGAGATATAGATAGACACATACAGAAGATATTAATACGTACAAATACAAGAGATATAGAAACACAAATACAGGAGATATAGATACACAAATATAGGAGATATAGATACACCAATATAGGAGATATAGGTACACCAATATAGGAGATATAGGTACACACATACAGGAGATATAGATAAACAAATGCAAGAGATATAGATACACAAATTCAGGAGATATAGATAATATAGAGATATAGATACAAAAGTATAAGAAATATAGATTCACAAATACTGGAGATATAGAAACAAAAATACAGGAGATATTTATACACAAATACAGAAGATATTGATACACCAATATAGGAGATATAGATACACAAAAACAGGAGATATAGATACAAAAATACAGGAGATATAGATACACAAATTTAGGAGATATAGATACACAAATACAGGAGATATAGATACACAAATATAGGAGATATAGACACACACATAAAGGAGATATGTATACAAAATTACATGTGGTATAGATACACCAATATAGGAGATATTGATGACATAAGAAAACATTTTCTAAAATGTAAAAAAACATTTTATAATCTAACAAAGTAACTTTAAACGCCTTGCACAAATACTTCATTCACTTGTACATTCTATTGTTTCACTGTATAAAAAGTAGAAAAGGCTTAAAAACTTTGTTTTGAATAACTTTTATGTCAACAAAAGAAAAATGTAAAAAGAGAATTAATTAAATAGTTTAAAAATGAAAAATAAGTTTAATAAAACTAGAATTTCAGTTTGTTTACATTCAATATCAAGATGAAATAAATTTCGACGAAAACAAATATTTATCAATAATAAGCTAAATATTTAATCTGTAGTCGGAATGTTGTGTCGTTAATAAAAGGATCAATCCCTGAGCCCAAAACTTAAGACAGGGTATCGATATGAAAACCAGTTTTGAAATCCGGGCTTCACGAATGGGGTTAGTTTTTGGGATATCAAATATTTTTGTTCTGAAATATTATTTTATTTAGTTTCTTCTTATTCTCCTTTTTTGTCGAATCTTTTAAATCAGAATCTACAAAATGTTAAGACCCCAAAAAGAAAACTTGAAAGTTTCGTTCAACGATACTCTTATAAATTTCGGACTCTGATATCCCACTCTGTAACCCTAAACTAAGCAGTGTACTGCACTGGTCTACAGTACACTGACCGAACTGTAAATGGGTTTTAGTGGAGAGTACTCCATTTTATGGCGACCAATGGTAAATTTTTATTTCCTTATTGATATATATCGGTGGTCATATCCTATAATAACTTTAATTTAGCGAAAATGCAATATCAACAAAATCTGCACACTGAACTATACAGAAGGGGAATGTCAAAATGCGACATTATTCTTGCTATTTTGTAAACTTGTAGATTCTGAAGGATGAGAAAAGAAAATTTTCCGTGCTATAAAGTTAAATTAGCTGTATATTATAGCCTTGAGCTATAAAATAATCATCCTGCTATAAAGTTAAATTAGCTGTATATTATAGCCTTGAGCTATAAAATAATCATCCTGCTATAAAGTTAAATTAGCTGTATATTATAGCCTTGAGCTATAAAATAATCATCCTGCTATAAAGTTAAATTAGCTGTATATTATAGCCTTGAGCTATAAAATAATCATCCTGCTATAAAGTTAAATTAGCTGTATATTATAGCCTTGAGCTATAAAATAATCATCCTGCTATAAAGTTAAATTAGCTGTATATTATAGCCTTGAGCTATAAAATAATCATCCTGCTATAAAGTTGNGCTAAAGGTATAGGGACACAATAAAATCTGAAAAGTCTTGAACCTCCTCGATAAATAGAAAATTTTTGTCCGAAACTTAACAACAGTGCGAACCAAAATATTAGTGTTATAAATAGTTATTTAAATTGTTTCATTCAGATTTACTTTATAGTTTGACGTACGCAGTAAACAGTATAATTTTCTAGGAGAAAATATAGAATTTATGTTCTCTTTTAGAACCAAAGATATACTGTGAGAACCATAAATTTTCAAATAGGAAGACGACATTTTAGCAATCCTAGGTCTATTTGATGATGTTTAAAAGCAAATAATTCTAATAATAAAACTTTTTAAGTGAAATGGGTCTGTATCTTGTCTGTATCTGGTCTGTATCTGGTCTGTATCTGGTCTGTATCTGGTCTGTATCTGCGTTTCATTTCATATTTTGAAACTAATTATGTTGATAAATTTTCTGTAAACATTAAGATGTGTCAATTCTATATTATCTACATGAATTTTTTTGTTTAAAATTATAATTTTTCCTTATTTTTAGTTTTACCCAACATACCCCATCTATTTTAAAGTTTTTCAGGAATGATTTATAGATTTTTTGGATGCATCTATATATAAAAAGTGTCTGTTTGTTTATTTGTCCAATCATATCTCAGGAACCTCTTGACCGATTTGCCTCAAATTTTGATTGGAGAAATTGAAAGAACCACGGAAAGGTTCTTAGCGTGGTTTTGAGATTTTAAGTTGATTGGGTTCACTTTTATCGGGAAAATAGATAAAATCGTAATTTACGATTAAGTGCGGGTAAACGGCGGGTGTTTTAGGACGATTTGTAACATTGGGCGTTTTGTGTATGGGTGATGTGTAATCTTGGGTGTTTTGTGTATGGGTGATGTGTAATCTTGGGTGTTTTGTGTATGGGTGATGTGTAACATTGGGCGTTTTGTGTATGGGTGATGTGTAACATTGGGCGTTTTGTTTTTGGGTGATGTGTAATCTTGGGTGTTTTGTTATTGGACTTTTTGTTATTGGACATTTTTTTTGGACATTTTGTTTTTGGGCATTTTGTATCCTCTCCGTCGTTTTGGCTTTTATTGGATACAAACAGTCAAGTCTAATATATATACATATATATATATCTTTATAATTATTAGGTTCACAGTTTTATGAAACATTTATTAATGTTTTCCCGTTTACTTTTTCGGAGCACATTATTTTGACTGACCAAAAACTTATCCAAACGTTTTGTCGTTTATTGAACACAAACAAACAGACCAGTCAAATATATAGATTATTTTTCCAAATATACAGATTATATTTCAAATTCATTTGATTTTATAAAGTATTGTTGGAGATGCTTTAATAGGAAAAAAGACCAATTTAACATTTAACACATTAACATTAACATTAACATTAACATTTTACCTCTTTTTAAGGACTTTTAGTTTAGATGGATTTATACTTTATTGATAAAAAATTCTACGGAAAACAAATTGTCTAATTTAAATGATTCTTTATTTAAAATTTCAGGGGCATGCCTGTTTCACAACGGTACCCTTGAAACCTTAATCTGATTAATAATCTGGACGATAGTTTCTAGCTTTGAAAGTGCTTTATTCGATATGTTATTGTTTAATTTAAACTGTTGATTTTCGTTTTTGGTTTCTCTATGACTTGCGCATTTCTTGCTTTCATAAGAAACAATGGAGAAACTATCAGAATTAAACAAAAAGATGACGCTATCTTCCACATTTTTGATCAAATTGAGGTTTCAAGGGTACCTTTGTAAATCGGTCATTGCTATCTTTGTATGGAGCGTCACAGGAAATTACGCTTACAGTCCCTTTAAATAAAATGATTTCCCTGTGTGTAAATACTTTCAATAATTCAAATCTAAAATTATCAAACCAACCCTTATAATACTTACATCTTCGAAAGGGTAGAAGTAGAAGGAGAAAGACATAAGAATCCATTCCGTCTCCGGGGTAGAAAACGGACTGGAGAGTTTTCTCCGGGTTCCTCAATTCTCACTTACTCCTCTCAGTCCTCGGATATAGAGAATAATAATATTTTAGAAATATTTTTGAAAAATTCTGTTTTACTTGTATCGTAATTACCGTTTGATTTTGACGGGAAAGAATTCAATTCTTTGCAGCAAACTTATATTTTTAAATCCCTTTATCTTTGCAACCTGATTGTGAATGGAGCGTCACAGGAAATTACGCTTACAGTCCCTTTAAATAAAATGATTTCCCTGTGTGTAAATACTTTCAATAATTCAAATCTAAAATTATCAAACCAACCCCTATAATACTTACATCTTCGAAAGGGTAGAAGTAGAAGGAGAAAGACATAAGAATCCATTCCGTCTCCGGGGTAGAAAACGGACTGGAGAGTTTTCTCCGGGTTCCTCAATTCTCACTTACTCCTCTCAGTCCTCGGATATAGAGAATAATAATATTTTAGAAATATTTTTGAAAAATTCTGTTTTACTTGTATCGTAATTACCGTTTGATTTTGACGGGAAAGAATTCAATTCTTTGCAGCAAACTTATATTTTTAAATCCCTTTATCTTTGCAACCTGATTGTGTTTAACAGTTTTATGATGCATAATCTTTCTTTTCTATTTAATACTTTTTTGTTTGCATATGCGTTTTAAACGAAAAAGTAGATTTGAATATTGTTGAATTTAAATAAAAAAAACCGAATGCATCTCATGGTGTAAATATATATATTTCCCATGAAAACGATATCCCACCTACTCTTGAAGGCTCAGGTGTTCCGTATCAGCTCTATCCCCAAATTTACAATAAGCCTCACAGTGCAGTAATTTAGAAGAGACGATGGGGTGTAAAAGGGATATGCGCCGTGATTCTTTGTATCTTCTGGTGCATTTCGTTTTTTTACAGTTCAGAAACTCTTGATATAATACTGTTTGACTACTTAATAATATTAATCTGCATTCTGAATCAAGTCATATTGACCCAAGCCTGGGACAATATTATTTTTTTTCTACAGAATTACCAACACGCATTAAAATTACAAAAAAATCTGATTTTTTTTAGATTTAAAAAATGGGTCAGCGCAAGCATTTAAAACAATCCTTAATCACCAAGAAAGGTCGAATTTTCCATTTTTTAAAACATGCTCACCACTGAATATAGCCCGTTTTTTGGTTTTTTGATAATTGTCTGGTTTAGGGGCAAAATTATCTCGCGTTTACAAAAAAAAATATGTGCTGAATGAATTTGAAAGTGAGAAAAAATTTCGTTTTTGTTTTACTTTTTTATTTTAGAAACTTTTAACACGTGCTGAGAGGATCTGTACATTTTTATCAAAAAAGTGCCAAATGGTCCCACCCTTATTTTAACATATAAAGCCCGTTAATACCCGAAAAAAAATCTATAAGAATTTTTTTCGGTGAAGTTATTTCTCTCATCAATTCCCCTCTTTTCCAACTCTTTCCAACACTTTTCAACTCTTTTAATCCGCTCATCGTCATAATCCATTTCCTTGCTAATCATCATAATTACTTTTTTCTTTTATCATCATAATCTCTTTTCTCTTTCATTAACATAATCTCTTTTCTCTCTCATCATCTTAATCTCTTTTCTCTCTCATCATCATAATATCTTTTCTCTCTCATCATCATAATCTCTTTTCTCTCTCATCATCATAATCTCTTTNAGTGCTCACCGTAAACGACTTATACCGGGAGAACAATTTAAATGTTTTATCCTAATTTCTTTCCGGAAATGATTTCAGATGTAAGGGGAGGGATAAAGTAAAAGATTCAAAATTGACCAATTGTTTTAATATATTTAAATTCGACTTCCGGTATCTGTCGTTGCCACGCTATTACGGCGAAAATAAAAATAGATATTAAAGTGTTCCAATATGTAAAGTGAGCAATCAGTTTATCTGATTCTCCTATTCATGATTTTAAAGCTTAACTGATTTGTATCCTTACTTTTCTTAACTATCCTACTTTATATAGTTCTTGATATTGAAGTTTGTATTTATGTATTTCAGGATATCAACAACTAAAACAATGTTCTAATATATTGTAACTTTAGATAGAAAAGTTTTTAAACACAATTAAATTTTGAACTTATATAACTAAATTATATCTACTTATGCAATAAATGAATACAATAAACATGTATAGAGTAACCCTAGTTGTAAAATTGAAAGATTTAACAAATAAAAATAATATTATATCAATTAACTTTTGATATAAAGGAACTTAAAACTAAAACTTACACTGCACCTTAGTTTTTTTCTTTTACACACCTTTTTACACACACACAACCACTAACTTTTAAGAGTTCTTGTTTAAGTGCAGGGGCGCTGTCCGTCTGTTGTTAATTTGGGTGTGACGAAGGAATGTGCAAACTGGTGTGACGTTAGAATATATGCTTTAATGTAAAAACTATTGAAACATTGTTCGTCCTTCTCCCCTATGAAGGTTTGAAAGAGAAACATGTATAACAACATGTTGCATTTATTGCCAATTTCTTCGGAAACCGAGGGATTCCGATATTTCTTTAATTATAGAGGTCTGTATCTCTTCATCACTGTAGGTGATCCGTAGTTTATACCATAGGTAAAATCTAAAATGATATTCTGAGAAATCTTCTTTATCAAATACAGAGTCTTTTTTCAGTCGATGGTAGAGGGGGGAAAATTTCTTTATATATACTGGATGAAGCTTCTTTTCAGTTAAATTGATGGTCATGCAGTGACCACCCTGATGTCTCATGCAGTTAGTGAGGAGAGTATCCAAGGTTTCTTTTAGGGTATAGGGCAAGGGCAGGTTTCTGTATATCGATCCATTGACCGTGACATTTTTCCAGATACTGTGATCCTTTCTCTTAGTTTGGATATGCAGATTCTTATGAATGTAGGATAAGGCTATTTTTTTCAAGCTTGGAACTTCGAATGGACCCTTTCTTTCTGCAGGACATGGTAAACGAGGATCTTCTCCTATTGGATTAACACGTTCCTCGCGGTCGTCCTCAGTAATTACTTGTTGATAGTGGAAAAAGTTGTCCCCCGGATTGGGATTAGGAATAGGAATAAAACCCGGGATGTGTGGTTGATTTACATGCATATCTCCCATATCAATAGTTAATCTGAAAAGAGTAAATAGTTTAAAAACGAAAAGTAGTTGAAAAGAAAATATTAGCACTGAACACATAGAGTAATAAAACGAAGAGGTGAAGCTTAGCTCAGGTTTACACAACCAAACTCCCTACTAATTAATATATAGAGTGGTCGGTTGCATACATCACGATATGTTTACGTAGTGTTTACGATATGTTTACATAACTTTTTGTTAATAAATTGAAAACCTACAAATTTTAAAATTGTCAAATGTTTGCAGCAACATCATCGAATTCTCTTTAAATAAAGAAAGAAAATCTAAAAGTTGGTCAATACGATCACTCTATATACATGTGTACAGTGTTAGATACGTAAACATATCGTGATGTATACAACCGACCACTCAATTAATTAATTAATAGAGAGGTCGGTTGTATAAATCTGAGCTAAGCTTCTCCTCTTCGTTTTATGACTAGACAGGAAAAGAAATGGAGGGGAAATTGTAAGAAAAAGGGAAAAAGAAAGTAATTTAAATAAATGGGAGGAAGGATGTAATTAAAGTAATTAAATGGAATATACTGTATAAATGAAAGAAATGAAAAGAAGTAAAAACGTGAGGGAGTAAAATAAAGTAAGTAAACAACTAGAATGGAATGTGAGTAAAATTAAGCAAGTAAACAACTAAAATGGAATATGAGTAAAATTAAGCAACAACTAGAATGGAATATGAGTAAAATTAAGCAAGTAAACAACTAGAATGGAATATGAGTAAAATCAAGCAAGTAAACAACTAAAATGGAATATAAGTAAATTAAGCAAGTAAACAACTAGAATGGAATATGAGGAAAATTAAGCAAGTAAACAACTACAATGGAATATGAGTAAAATTAAGCAAGTAAACAACTAGAATGGAATATGAGTAAAATTAAGCAAGTAAACAACTAGAATGAAATATGAGTAAAATTAAGCAAGTAAACAACTAGAATGGAATATGAGTAAAATTAAGCAAGTAAACAACTAGAATGGAATATGAGTAAAATTAAGCAAGTAAACAACTAAAATGGAATATGAGGAAAATTAAGCAAGTAAACAGCTAGAATGGAATATGAGGAAAATTAAGCAAGTAAACAACTAGAATGGAATATGAGGAAAATTAAGCAAGTAAACAACTAGAATGGAATATGAGGAAAATTAAGCAAATAAACAACTAGAATGGAATATGAGGAAAATTAAGCAAGTAAACAACTAGAATGGAATATGAGGAAAATTAAGCAAGTAAACAACTAGAATGGAATATGAGGAAAATTAAGCGAGTAAACAACTAGAATGGAATATGAGGAAAATTATGAAGCAAATAAACAACTAGAATGGAATATGAGGAAAATTAAGCAAGTAAACAACTAGAATGGAATATGAGGAAAATTAGACAAGTAAACAACTAGAATGGACTATGAGGAAAATTAAGCAAGTAAACAACTATAATGGAATATGAGTAAAATTAAGCAAGTAAACAACTAGAATGGAATATGAGGAAAATTATGATGCAAATTGAAAGAAAATCAATTTGAGAATGTTGCGGTAAAGAATGAACATAATGAAAGAAAAAAAAACAAAGAGATAATTAAAATAAGCGAAGTGTTAAATTTAAGAAAAATAGTAAAAATAAAATAGAAGTGAGGGGAAAAATGTGTTAAAAAAATTCAATGATGGACTGAATTGAATGCTTAAACAAAATATGAATGGATAATATAGAATGAAAACGATTTCGAGGAACAGAAAAACAAATTTATGTAAAGAGAAAAAGGAGTGAAACAAAAAAAGATAAGACATAATGAATAGTAACAAAATGACAGGAATATTTGTAGGAAAGGTTATAAAATTGTGTAAGAAAAGAAAATACCATATTGTTGAAAGGCAATAATTTAGAAGTAGTTTTAAAAGAATGGAAAGGAGAGTGTAAAGAGTAGTATAAGCAACTCTACTATAAAACAATATGTCTTCAATGCAAACCAAAAGGAGACTGAACTACGAAGGGAATGTTACGTGAAATGTAGGTTTACATGTGAAGGGGGGTTGAGGGGGGGGGGAAGAAAAAAATGTATCGAAAATGGAAAGGAACGAAAAGACGGGGAATAAACATTAAACTGTGAAAGTAAACTAGGGAAACTTGATAGATGGAGCAGTAGAAACTTGATAGATGGAGCAGTAGAAACTTGATAGATGGAGCAGTAGAAACTTGATAGATGGAGCGTTAGAAACGAAGACGGAAGAGAAGAGGGGAGACGAAATTTAGTGAGGTATTTGTATATGATTGATGTATCATCATAGTCTCTTTTCTCTCTTATCATCATAATCTCTTTTCTCTCTCATCATTATAATCTCTTTTCTCTCTCATCATCATAATCTCTTTTCTCTCTCATCATCATCATCCCTTTTCTCTCTCATCATCATCATCTCTTTTCTCTCTCATCATCATCCCTTTTCTCTCTCATCATAATCTCTTTTCCCTCTTATCATCATAATCTCTTTTCTCTCTCATCATCATAATCTCTTTTCTCTCTCATCATCATCATCCCTTTTCTCTCTCATCGTCATAATCTCTTTTCTCTCTCATCATCATAATCTATTTTCTCTCTCATCATCATCATCCCTTTTCTCTCTCATCATCATAATCTATTTTCTCTCTCATCATCATCATAATCTCTTTTCTCTCTCATCATCTTTATCTATTTTCTCTCTCATCATCATAATCCCTTTTCTCTCTCATCATCATAATCTATTTTCTCTCTCATCATCATAATCTATTTTCTCTTTCATCATCATCATAATCTCTTTTCTCTCTCATCATCATAATCTCTTTTCTCTCTTATCATCATAATCCCTTTCTCTCTCATCATCATAATCTCTTTCTCTCTCATCATCATAATCTCTTTTCTCTCTCATCATCAAAATATATTTACTCAAATATTGAAAAAAAAATATATTTACTCAAATATAAAACACAAAGTTAACTTCTTGATAAAAAAAGAAATATCACAGTGGGGTGTTATTATCATTTTAATTTCAATTTAATGAAATTTTATTTTTACTAAAATACTAACTGCTGTACTGCAGCAGTGCAAATTCACAAATTTAAAATTTACATTGTACTTTATATGTGGGTATAGAAAGTGCAACTGCTGTGGATTAAAATATTGTTCTGTGTGTATTAATAGTGATGGAGTACAAACTACCAGTGGATTAAGGTACAATTCCTGTCCTTATAGATAGTACTAGAGTACATTGAACTACTGGTGGTTTAAATACAACTGCTGTGCATGTAGATAGTACTGGAGTACAGTACTACCGGTGGATTTAAGATCCATTAATGGGCTTCCATAACAACAGCTGTATTGCAAATAGATAGCGCTGAAGTACAGTGAACTATCGGTGGATATAAGTACAGCTTACGTGCTTGTAGAAAATACAGCTGCTGTGATTGTAGAAAGTACAGCTGCTGTGTTTATAGAAAGTACAGCTGCTGTGATTGTAGAAAGTACAGCTGCTGTGATTTTAGAATATACAGTTGCTGTGTTTATATAAATAAAACTGTTGTGATCATAGATATTAGTTATTAACTGATAGTGATTGGGCGATTAGGGACTGTAAGCGTAATTTTCAGCTGACCCCACATGCTAAGATGGCAATAACCAGATTTACAACAGTACCCTTAAAAGCTTTGTCTGATCAAGTATTAATTATGTATGCAAGTTTATGTTTTTTTTTATTATTTTTGGTTTTTCTACAGAGAAATTTATTGCTTATAAGAAATAATCGAGAAATTCACAGAAATTAACACTTACATATTTTTGATAAGATTTCAAGGGTAACGTTGTTGATCGGGCATTACTATCACTGCATGGTGGGTCACTTGAATTTACACTTGCAGGCTCTTTAATAACAGATTATAAGGTACACTACTTGAATAGCATTGAAACCGAATAATTAATGATTGATACATTTTCTAAATGCTCAGAGGCCGAATTTCAAGAATTTGTTTGAGCCGCGGCTTAACTATGGTTGGTTCCACTTAAAGTTGTGTTCAATGTTTCAAGATTTAAGCCGGCACTCAATTAAAACTGGTTTTTGGCGGATTTGAGACGCGGCTAAAATCAATAAATTCGGACTCAGGCAAGATGTTTTTTTTTTTGACAAATAATAAACTTATTCTTATAAATAATAAAAACCTCAGAGTTCAGTAAATCCGCTTAAAGGGACTGTCCAGGAAAAATGAAAGGGGGTATAGGCGGAAACCTAAGCATTTTAGGGATTGACCGAGACCCATCAGAGTTCTATCTCATGTTCCTGTCTCGAGAAATTTAATAACTAAATTAGCGCCTATCATCGGGGAATCAATTGATACGAAACTATTTATAAAAATTGTAGTTCATGAAAAGATATTGCTCTAAAGAATATTTGTGAAAAATACATGTTTCGTTGATATATCAACAGTTAACAGATAATTAAACTATAATTAACAATGAGCAAAAATGTCGGGGGGGAAATCATTATTACATTTCGTAAAAAATAAGGGTGTAATTGAAGAGATACATCTTAAGCTCAGTTTGTCTGCAAATCTAGAAATGAACAACGAAAAATATTAGAAATAATCAATAATTTTGTCAACAATGGGAAAAACTATGAAAAGCCTATCAGTCTATATTTAAGCTAATAAAACTTTTTGTAAAAAATTACAAAAAAGCTCAAACGTTTAGATAAAAATAAATAATAAATCTCATGAATGGAACTATTTGATTTGAAATTGTTGCGTACATATAGTACATAATGTACAAATCTATGGAATTGAATTGTACTAGAACCGGCATTTCCCTCAAACACTTTATAACTTTTGTTTTTTAGCCGCCCCCGAATCTATAAAAGGTGGGATTTAAAGGATAGTTAATACTGACAATATTGCAGATAATATTAATCTCAAAACTGTAAACATGATACAAATTAAATTCTTGTTCAAAACAAAAACTTAAAAGATCGGACAGAATGGTCATTCAGATCACTTTCTTCTGAAATAAAAATCAACAGAAAAATAAGTACAATATATCATTTGAGACATTAATGGCATTATACTTCTTGCTTCACCTAATTATTGCATTGTACATTGTACAAATATTGTTTATATTGTACTGTTGTAAGGTACAGCTAATCTGTACAAGATTAAGCAAATATGTACAGATCTGTACATGAAGGCACATTCTATCCAACCTTATTCCAGGGTTATGGTTCAGTAAGGAGAAGATCTTCAATCTGTTCGTGAAGGCACATTCTATCCAACCTTACTCCAGGGTTAAGGTTTAGTAAGGAGAAGATCTTCAATATCTGAGGATTCAGATCCGGAATAGTTCTGATAATCAGTATCAATACCCATCCTCTTCAAATCTCTGAAACAGGAAGCATATAAACATTTTCAATCAATTAGAAGTATTCTTCATCATTGGATTGTAGAAGGTTATACTACTATACATTTACTCCCAGTTCTTAGTTGAATAAAGATGCTGACAGAGTATCCCACATCTGGGGGGGAGAAGGGGGGACATCCCCTGGAAAATTACTTTGCCCTGTCTCAGAAATTGAGGAGATGTAACCCCCCCCCCAAACCAGGAAAAAAGATGCAAAACTTGGAGTGCTACTTCTTCTGTGCAGTAATTTAAAAAAATTAAGGACAGGGGGGGTTAAAAATTACCAGTTCTTGCATATTTTTAAAAGCTAAAATCTTGAACTTTTTTTGCAGAAAATTTTTTTACCATGTTAAAGGCGATTATATTACTCATGTTTCAAGAGAACCCGATACATAATCTAGAACTTACTCATCTAATTGTAGATCATCTTCACTATCATCACTGAACAGATCATCCTTCCGTTTCAACGGTTTAAATGAGTAACTCCGCTCTGATTTAGGATTTCTTGAATCCATCTTGCAGGAGAGATAACCCAGGATACACACGGTTATTCCTGAATACAAAATCATTTCAGGAGGTTTAGAGATTGCTTTAGGCTTTACACAACAACCAGGAGGTTAAAGTCCCGACTGTTGTGTGATTTTTCATCCCGGAACTGATTTTGATGGAGAATATTTTGACTAGTCTTTCTACAATCTTAGTTCAATATGAAAGTTTGTCTGTATGAACTAAAAAGTTCAATATGAAAGTTTGTCTGTATGAATTAAAAAGTTCAATGTGGAAGTTTGTCTGTATGAACTAAAAAGTTCAATGTGGAAGTTTGTCTGTATGAACTAAAAAGTTCAATGTAGAAGTTTGTCTATGAACTAAAAAAGATAGATACATTACCGGTCACACTCTTTAAGTCTATTTGATCTAAGAGGATTCAGAGTTGAAACTATCAAAAGTCTACAAGATCAAGTTGGAAAAATATACGGATTTTAAAAAAATGAGGCAAGTAATCAGTTCCTTTCGTCACATTTTTAAACGAAGACCCACAATACCTGTAGCTAGGAAGGCAAAAACAGCAAGGACCGGAACTCTACTGCTTGATTCAACTCTAGCTCTGATATGACGAACCTCGCCTTAATAAAATAAGAAATAGTTTAACGTGAGGGCTGAAATTACAGATGAATTCAGACTGTTTGGGACGTTTTGCACGGCAAATTTAAGATGACTAATAGTAAATCAAGGTTGAAATGTGGTCTTACGATTCGTAGACTTTATTCAATTTTTTTCAGACATAAAAGAATTAAGTTTTTTTAATATATTATTGGATCAATATGATTTTAAAACAGTTGCGGCTTTATAACTAAAGATATTTAAAATATAAATATATTTTTTATGCTGTAACATTAACTGATATAGGTTTGAACCCCTCTACTCAATATCTACCTGGATACACTGTAACATTAACTGATGTAGGTTTGAACCCCTTTACTATATATCTACCTGGATACACTGTAACATTAACTGATGTAGTTTGAACCCCTCTACCCTATATCTACCTGGATACACTGTAACATTAACTGATTTAGGTTTGAACCCCTCTACTCTATATCTACCTGGATACACTGTAACATTAACTGATGTAGGTTTGAACCCCTCTACTATATATCTACCTGGATACACTGTAACATTAACTGATGTAGTTTGAACTTCTCTACTCTATATATACCTGGATACACTGTAACATTAACTGATGTAGTTTGAACCCCTCTACCCTATATCTACCTGGATACACTGTAACATTAACTGATGTAGGTTTGAACCCCTCTACTCTATATATACCTGGATACACTGTAGCATTAACTGATTTTGGTTTGAACTCCTCTACTCTATATCTACCTGGATACACTGTAACATTTACTGATGAAGGTTTGAACCCTCTCTACTCTATATCTACCTGGATACACTGTAACATTAACTGATGTAGTTTGAACCCCTCTACTCTATATCTACCTGGATACACTGTAACATTAACTGATGTAGGTTTAAACCCTTCTACTTGTATCTCTAAAGTCCAGAACCCAGCAGGTACAAGTCTCCAAACATCGCTTCTAGATTAAAAAACTATTTGAAGCATTTATGAAGAAGAAATTATGGTTAACATTTTTTGCAAAAATATGCTTTTGTACTTCTGCATGATTGATGAAAAATAATAAAATTATGATTAGAAAAACATCTTGAGGGGGGGGCGTTTACCGCCCTCCCCCCTCAGGCTTTTTTCCCCTAGCACTCTTATTTTTGACTCTATCGCCGTTGACTTTTAATGATAAGAAAATTAAAGTATTTTTTGTTATTTTTTGTTATTTTTTTTTAATGCATTGGGTACAGGGCGGTAAAATCTAAAATAGCCCATAGCTTTTTTGTGACTAGAGCTAAAGATCTTAAAACTATATTTTTGAAAAGCCCTTGAAAAATGGATGTAGAAACATGCCACATCTTGTTCAAAACAAAGAAATTAATATTTTTCATTTTTTTTACCCTTTTTGGCATTTTTTTTAAGCCTCTCTAGCACCCAAACTATTAAAGTTATCGGTCTAATTTTTTTTTCAACGAGCTTGCCTTGAAATATTGGATGAACGTGCATTTCAACCCAATTTCTATTTATACCCAGGCTATACATAGAATGAGAGCCTCCAGCCTTTATAGGTTTAAAGAATCTGGGGGCAGGTGATTCTTGTTGCGCTGGAAAAAGATTAATACTTGAACAACAAAAAGGAAGTTTGTTTACCTTTTGTGATACCGTACCCAAAAATTCTTTATTTACCCCTAAAATCATTAATCGTTTCCTAAAAAGCCTTTGTTCCCCCCATTTAGGCAAATTTAACCCTTAAACCTGGAACATTAAAAGATTTACACCCCTGGAAACACCACTAGAATCCCCCCCCCCT